CTCCTCGACAAATGAGTTCGTAGCTTGGTGCAGAGAATGACAAAACTCACTGATGATGCCGACTAAGATGCCGGCGAAACGCTTGAGAATGTACTAAGTCCACTGTCTGATGCTGGGAATCATGACAACTACTATGGCAGACAACTTCTGACTTGGTGCGTTCTACTATGTCGCCCTGACAACAAGACCAAGTTGCGACAACGAGGTCAACCCACTTCTGAAAGAGCCAAGTTGGATCAGTTAGATCTGCACAAGTCTAGGGGGACAATTGAACTGCAATTCGCCACGTGGACTAAAAGAAAATGAAGCTTTGACATCGAATAGATGTCTTCAGCTCTTCTGGCTACTTTCGGACAGTAAACGTGCTGACTCTGGTGCAAAAAAGTATGGCAGTCACGGGGATGCGTCACAAACACCGACTGTAACACTATATCCATAAACCGTGTACCGTATCGGCAATTGACTCCTGAGAGTAAAGACCAAGAGAGACCTTAGTGTGGTATCGAGTTTCATGGCAAAGCACGCTGGCCTGACAGCACAAAAGTCCTCGCAGAAGCTGTGAGACAAGATCTTGGCTTGTAAAGCAATGAGGTTACGGTCGTGTGGAGTTGACCTTTTTGCTTGGTCTAGGATATTAGATTAGTTATTTGTAAAGCATAGCTTCTGGTCCTGACAATGTATATTACATGGCAGACGAGAGGCTAGGAACTCTATCGCATCAAATGCGGCAACTGTGAGCATAAGTCTATTGGCGAGGCAAAGAAAAGTGGAGCTTCGAGGAATCTCTTGTTTCATAATTGTTGAGCCTACTTCCATTTCGAGTGAAAGTGTTGGGTGAAGAGATTCGAAGGTCGGTTCCACCAGAAGACGACGGCCGATTCCTTTTGACTAGTTCTCAATTGGCTTAACAGGAAGATTCATGCTGACACTGTTTCCGAGGTAATCTCCTTCGATTCCAGTGAAAAGGTGCTAAGCTTTCGTCCGTCATATGAGGAACATCATCAGAGCAAGGTATGATCATCACAACAAGAATCAAGCTTTCGAGTCAAGAAAACTCACCGGCAAATCGAAAGCTTAGTACCTTTTCACCGGAATCGAAGGAGATTGCCTCGGAAACAGCGTCAGCATGAATTTCAACTAAAGCCAACCGACAACAGGTCAAGAGGAATCCGTCGTCGTCTTCTGGTGGAACCGACCTTCGAATCTCTTCACCCAACACTTTCACT